CACTCAGAAATGTTCAAGATATGTCAAAGTATTTTATCCACAGTGGTATATTACAGATCATTCTAGAAAAATACCTCGACTTTGCTCCCTGTAAATACAGCATTACCATGTGTGCGTGTGTGTACTCACCTATTTGTACTCGCCTATTTGTGGTTGCAGGGGTCTAGTCTTAGCTCCTGGCCCCGCCTCTTCACTGGTTGCTACTGGGTCCAATCTCTCCCTGCTCCATGAGCTTTATCAAACCTCATCTTAAAACTACGTATGGTTCCCGCCTCCACTACGTCACTTTCTAGGCTATTCCACTGCCTGACAACTCTATGACTGAAGAAATATTTTCTAACATCCCTTTGACTCATCTGACTCTTCATCTTCCAATTGTGACCTCTTGTTTCTGTGTCCCCTCCCTGAAACATCCTGTCTTTGTCCACCTTGTCTATTCCACGCAGTATTTTATATGTCGTTATCATGTCTCCCCTGACCTTCCTGTCCTCCAATGTCGTCAGGCCGATTTCCCTTAACCTTTCTTCATAGGACATTCCCCTTAGCTCTGGAACTAACCTTGTCGCAAACCTTTGCACTTTCTCTAATTTCTTGACATGCTTGATCAAGTGCGGGTTCCAAACAGGTGCTGCATACTCCAGTATGGGCCTGACGTACACAGTGTACAGTGTCTTGAACGATTCCTTACTAAGGTATCGGAACGCTGTTCTCAGGTTTGCCAGGCGCCCATATGATGCTGCAGTTATCTGGTTGATGTGTGCTTCCGGAGACATGCTCGGTGTTGTACTTGCCCCAAGATCTTTCTCCTTGAGCGAGGTTTGCGGTCTTTGGCCACCTAGCCTCTTCTCCGTCTGCGGTCTTCTGTGCCCTTCCCCGGTCTTCATGACTTTGCATTTGGTGGGGTTAAATTCGAGAAGCCAGTTGCTGGACCAGGTGTCCAGTCTGTCCAGGTCTCTTTGAAGTCCTGCCTGATCCTCATCTGATTTAATTCTCCTCATTAACTTCACATCATCTGCGAACAGGGACACTTCTGAGTCTAACCCTTCCATCATGTCATTCACATATACCAAAAATAGCACTGGTCCTAGGACCGACCCCTGTGGGACCCCGCTCGTCACAGGTGACCAGTGTGATACCTCATCCCGTACCATGACTCGTTGTTGCCTCCCTGTCAGGTATTCTCTGATCCGTTGCAGTGCCCTTCCTGTTATATGCGCCTGATCCTCTAGCTTCTGTACTAATCTCTTGTGAGGAACCGTGTCAAAGGCCTTCTTGAAGTTCAAGAAGATGCAATCAACCCACCCCTCTCTCTCGTGTCTTACTTCTGCTACTTTATCATAAAACTCCAGAAAGTTTGCGACACAGCATTTGCCTTCCATAAATCCGTGCTGGTTGATGTTTATACTCTTGTTCCGTTCCAGGTGCTCCACCACTCTCCTCCTGATAATCTTCTCCATAACTTTGCATACTATACACGTCAGTGACGCAGGTCTAGAGTTTAGTGCCTCTTTTCTGTCTCCTTTTTTAAAAATGGGAACTACATTTGTCGTCTTCCATACCTCAGGTAGTTGCCCAGTTTCCAGGGAGGTGTTGAAGATTGTGGTTAATGGCACACACAGCATATCTGCTCCCTCTCTAAGGACCCACGGGGAGATGTTGTCCGGTCCCATTGCCTTTGAAGTATCGATGTCCCTTAGCAGCTTCTTCACCTCCTCCTCATTTGTATGTATGTCATCCAGCACTTGTTGGTATATTCTTTGCTGGTGTCCCCCTCTGTTCTGTGCCCCCAGAGGCCTTCCTGTCTCCACTGTAAATACTTCCTTAAATCTCATGTTGAGCTCCTCACATACCTGTTGATCGTTTCTTGTGAGTTCCCCACCTTCTTTCCTCAGCCTGATCACCTGGTCTTCGACTGTTGTCTTCCTCCTAATATGGCTATACAGCAGTTTCAGGTCAGACTCGACTTTTGATGCTATGTCGTTTTCGTACTGTCGCTGGGCCTCCCTCCTTATCTGTGCATACTCGTTTCTGGCTCATCTACTAATCTTCTTATTTTCCTGGGTCCTTTGCCTCCTGTACCTTTTCCATTCTCTGGTGCACTTAGTTTTTGCCTCCCTACACCTTCGGGTAAACCAAGGACTCGCTTTGGTCTTCCTATTATTTCTATTGCCCTTGGGAACAAACCTTTCCTCTGCCTCCTTGCACTTTGTTGTTACATATTCCATCATCTTGTTTACTGATTTTCCTACCAGTTCTCTGTCCCATTGAACCTCCTGCAGGAAGTTCCTCATACCTGTGTAGTCCCCCCTTTTATAGTTTGGCTTTTCCCATTCAATTCCTGTTACCCTCTCCACTTGTAACTCTACTATATAATCAAAACTTAGAACTACGTGATCGCTAGCTCCAATGGGCCTCTCGTAAGTGATGTACTCAATGCCTGAACTGCTCAGGATGAACACAAGATCCAGTCTTGCTGGCTCATCCTCCCCTCTCTCTCTCTGGTAGTGTCCCTGACATGTTGTTGCATGAGGTTTTCAAGTACCACATCCATCATCTTGGCTCTCCATGTTTCGGGTGGCTGTCTGATCATCATCACTAGGTTTTCCTTATCAGCTTATTTTAATGTGCTTCAGGATAATTTTTGCATTTTATAGAAGATAGGTATTGTTTCTCAGTCTAGTAATTAGCATAACTTTACCTTTGATAAGTTTTGAAAGTTTTTCTACTCCCAGAGCCCAGCCTTAGGCCAGGCTGGTCTGGTGCTTGCCTGGGCGACCACACTGTTGCTACTGGTGGCCCGTTGACCCACATACCCATCACAGCCTGGTTGATCTGGCACCTGGCAAAGATATTTGTCCAGTTTCCTCTTGAAGACTTATACACTTGTTCCAGCATTGTTTCTGATATCTTCTCGTAAGATGTTGAAAAATCTGGGGCCACAGATGGTGATACAGTGTTCCCCAATTGTGCCCACTGCACTCCTTCTTTTCACTGGGTTTATTTTGCACTTTCTCCCATGTCTCTTCCTCCAGTATGTTGTTATGGCAGTGTGCAGATTTAGGACAAGGCCCTCGAGTATTTTCAAGGTACAGTGGTCCCTCAATAATCGTCCGGCCTGAAAGTCATCCATTTCGGAAATAGTACTGTTTTTTCGTCAAAATATTGGCTTGCAAGTGGTCTGGTAACTCGCTAATAGTCCTTCGTCCCAGACACGTACTCACGCTCTGAGCCGCCTCGGCCTTTCCTTCCCAGCCAGTGTGCCATTGTTTACCAGTGAGCGACGGTCCCCTCACGTGCTCCAGCGAAATATTTCATAATATTCCATTTATTTCAGTGCTTGCAAGTTATTTAAGTGCTAAATAAGCTACCATGGCTCCAAAGAAAGCTCCTAGTGCCAAGCCTTTGGTAAAGAAGGTGAGAAATACGATTGAATTTAAGAAAAACATCATTGAACAATATGATAGTGGCGTACGTGTGGGCGAACTGGCCAGGATGTATAACAAATCCCGTACAACCATATCTTCCATCATAGCCAAGAAAAAGGAAATCAAGGACGCTGTTGTTGCAAAGGGGGTAAATATGCTGACAAAAATGAGATCACCAGTACTCGAAGATGTTGAGAAGTTATTATTGGTGTGGATAAATGAGAAACAATTAGCAGGAGATAGTCTTATGACTAGGCAGTTGCATGACGATTTGGTAAAGAAATTGCCTGCAACTAGTGATGATGTGAGTGAATTTAAGGCCAGCGAAGGCTGGTTTGAGAGATTTAAGAAGCGTACTGGCATACACAGTGTGGTAAGGTATGGTGAGGCTGCCAGTTCGGACCACAAGGCGTCTGAAAAATATGTGCATGAATTCAAGGAGTACATAAACAGTGAAGGACTGAAACCTGAACAAGTGTTCAATTGTGATGAAACAGGCCTCTTTTGGAAGAAAATGCCAAAGAGGACATAAATTACTCAGGAAGAAAAGGCACTGCCAGGACACAAGCCTATGAAAGACAGGCTGACGCTAATGTTCTGTGCTAATGCTAGTGGGGATTTCAAAGTGAAGCCGTTACTAGTGTACCATTCTGAAAATCCCAGAGTGTTCAAGAAAAACAATGTTATGAAGAGTAAATTGTGTGTGTTTTGGAAATCTAATAGGCATGGGTCACGAGGGAAATTTTTGTAGAGTGGTTCAATGAAGTGTTTGGCCCTAGTGTGAAGAGTTACCTCCTGGAAAAGAAATTGGATCTCAAGTGCCTCCTAGTAATGGATAATGCACCTGCTCATCCTCCAAACTTGGATGACCTAGGAGTGTGGGTTCATCACAGTAAAGTTCTTGCCCCCGAATACCACTCCTCTCCTCCAGCCCATGGACCAGCAAGTCATTTCAAACTTTAAAAAACTGTACACCAAAGCAATGTTTCAAAGGTGCTTTAATGTGACCTCAGACACTTTTTGCGAGACAGGACTCCAGTGACTCTCAAGGTGGTCCTAGTGGCATTAAGAAACAGAGAAGAGAAGTAACCCCAGAAAAGCAATTGGTACCCGAGGTGTTGATGGAAGGAGATTCCCCTTCCAAACAGTAATTCATCCAATCAGTCTCCTCCAGTCTTCCATACACAAAGAAGAATTGCCAATAAAGGTAAGTGTTATTCTGTTAATGTTTAATTCATCATGTGCCACTGTATTGTTTATGTACTACATCTATATTTCATGTAAAAAAAATTTTTGTTTTAATACTTCTGGGAGTGAGGAACGAATTAATTGAATTTACATTATTTCTTATAGGGAAAATTGATTCGTAAATCGTCCATTTCGATAATAGTCCCACTTCCAGGAACGGATTATGGACGATTATTGAGGGACCACTGTATATATGATCATATATCTCTTTTCTATCTCTCCTGCAGTGAATACATATTTAAGACTAAGGTGTACCTAGTAATTTAAATACAAAAGTTTAGATCTTTATTGTCAGTAACATTCAGAGGCTTGACAAAAATTCCAAAGTTGAAGCAGTAGTAGAAGTCAAGTTTTATTTAAAAAGTGTATAAGAAATGGCAGTGATACAGTATAAAGATTTAGAAGTAACAGAAATCTTTACATAATATTCTCTTAATACTTATTATTCTTTGATTTAATTATGAAATTTTCCAACAGAAAATCTCATATTTAAAACAGAGTAAGCAATGGAAAAGTATTGCTTATCGATGTAGGAATTGGAATACGACCTAAACTTATTGCAAAAACCTCTTAGGAAGTTTTTGATATGGCAGTGTCAACCTGATAAATGCTAAATTATAAAATTAAAGTAAATAATATTTAGGATATGCCTATACTAAAGCTATAAACATGTAGCACCACAAAATTTATAACAGTAAAATATTTATTAATTTTTTAAAGTACAGTCAACATTTAGGAAACTATCAAATATCTTGGAGCTCTGCAATGTGCACACAGAATTTTGCAGTTAACATAATCATTTAAATAGAACAAGTTCTCCAAATAACTTGCAAAATCTCACATTCAGAATGAAAGCACCTTGTGGACATAAGGAAGACATTAATGAACATGATTTGAGCAGAAACAATGTGATCTGAGATTCTAAACTTTAGTTAGTAATATAATGCAGTTATAAAACTAACTAAAGGCTTAATTTATAGGTAGTCATTTTATCCAATTCCAATTTGCTTTTACATATGGCGTCTCAGTGATTACATGGTAACGATGAGCTTCATAAAATGCAAACGGTAAGAAGCCACATAGACTAGACATTGACATAAAAACTATTTACACTGGCATTATAATATAAAATTAAATCAATAAGCAGAAAAGCTTATTAAAATATTGGCATCTGATTTCAAATTTTGGAAGTGGCCTTTATTACAATATTTCTGATTGAAAATGGTTTCTTGATTCAGCTGTAATAATTAAAACTAGTAATAGAATAAGCCTTAACGTCTCCACCCATTCCCCTAAATTAGTTCTTGATGCAAACTTGACATCTTGAAACCCGAGTAAGTAGACTACCAGCTTTAAGAGTTTCTGATACGGGCCGTGAAAATTGCTGTCTTTCCTCAATTGTGGCAAGCCAGAAACTAAATTTGTTGGCGAAGTAGTGGCATGTTCCTCGTGCTCCATTGCACTCAATGAATGGCGTAGCTCTGAAGTCCTCCAGACATGAGCCTGGGCTGCTGAGAGACTGGCCACCACCCTCTGCACCAGCAGCTGTGTGCTGTGGATGAGGTTTTCATTAATTGAAATAATATTAATTTGTATATATGTTGGTAGAATTACCGACAGTATGTAAAGTAAAAGGACACAAGTGCAACTAATGTGACATTTTATTGTTGCAACGTTTCGCTCTCCAGGAGCTTTGTCAAGCCATTACAAGCAATACGTGGACACAGAGGGTATATATAGGCTTAGAGTGAGGTGCAATGCTAGTGGTAGTAGTAGTAGTGATGCAATATGGTAGAACAATTAACTTGCACATGAGTAAAAGGATATAAAATCTATTACTTGGGTAGCATAAAAATAATAGGTTAGACAAATATTTCTATTGGAGGCTGAATTAGAGAAGGCATTACAATGCACCTCACTCTAAGCCTATATATACCTTCTGTGTCCTTGTATTGTTTGTAATGGCTTGACAAAGCTCCTGGAGAGTGAAACGTTGCTGCAATAAAATGTCACATTAATTGCACTTGTGTCCTTTTACTTTAAGTATTAATTTGGCCATTATTTAATAAGCTAAATACTATTACTAATCATTTCTAATATGCTAACTACCAAAGACATATATACATTACCCAGTACAGCACTGTTAATTGTGATGTACAGAGTATATTATTGTACTTTTCAATCTTGCTTAAAATTACACCAAATACTGATTAAAAACTAGAGTGAAAGTTATCAAATGGAGAAAATTATAGCATGTTAAAGGGTTAACTATAATATAAATTACCATATATCTATATTATCATGAAAATGTCTAGAACTGGGAGAATGAATTTAAATTAATTTGGTCTTTCAAGGGGAAGGATGGTGAATGGCTCTTGATCCAAGGATCTGGAAGTATCCTCCCCTTTGGATCAAACATGATTACCTCCCATGTCCAGGTGCTGCATGATCCTTACAGGCTTAGTGCTTCCCTATGAGTATAATAATAATAATCAATCTCATATATATTATGCCTGTCCTACATTATGTGCTTGTGTGGTGAAATTCACTTATAGTGTACTGCTAAAAATTAAAAATGGGAAACATGAGTGAGAAAACAAGATTAATCATACCATAACAAATGAGTAGCCAATCCACATGCTAGACCATCCATTAGGACACTCAGGAATATTCAAAGACTGGCTATGGACAGCGATCACATTTGCTGGGGCCTCACACACCACACATCTGTTGAAAAATAAAAAGTTCATGTTACCTTAATAATAAGTAAGCTTATTCAGGTATAGGTACACATAAATACAGTTACATAAATTATCATACATAGCAGCATATGCGTAGATTACCTAGGATAACCCAAAAAAGTCAAAGTGATTTATTTCCACTTGGGTCCTTGGTGTTTAAAATGTCTGCAAGCATAATCACTTTCTCTGTTTAACAATGAAGTGCTTTAAAAAAATTGTATTACAAACAAGATAAATTAGAGCATGCTTTTGTTCTGCAAAAGAAAAATTAACAAAAACTGGTGATGTCTTTCAGTACACAAATAATCAGCACATGGAAGATTGAAATTTATGACATTTTGATCTGGATTACACCATTATCTAATCATGGTATTGTGTCTTTTTTATTTTTTGAGGTCTTCCAGGTTAGTCCATAAACCTGGAGGTATACATCTGTATGCTTTTTTTTCAAGTCATTGTTTTGAAATTGGTCATAAGTGTTTTCACTTATCACTGCCCACATTTTAACATTATTTTTACAATACAGCTAATCAAGAAACTCTAAAGGCAGGTGAGTGATAAGGTATTCCATGAAGCGTATAAGAGGAAAGTCATTACACGTATCTCCAACAAGAAAATGAATGTTATGCAGCATTTTCAGGCTCATGAAAATGAGCAGTGATATTTCAAAGGTTTTAATCAAGTAGTATCCACACTTTGTGCTAACTACAGTGGAACCTTGGTTTTCGTTTGCCCTGGTTTTTGTCAAATTTGGTGTTCGACAACTTCCTTCGTCAAAATGTTGTCCCAGTTTTCATTCGTCACCTTGGTTTTCGTGCAGGTACACATTAAAATTACTAAGAGTGTCCTAGTCTTAACGCCATAGTAATAATAATACGTAATAATAATCACTCTTGGGCACATTAAATGTCTTATTTTCCATTAATATAGACATTTTCATTAATCCATCTATGATATTTTCTTCAAAATTATATAAGAAACATGTTACATATTATATAAACATGCAGTGTTTATATGCTATGGAGGGGTAGTAGTTGGGTGGAGGGAAAACATTACATTTTCTTTGGTCCAGCACCAGAGAAAACATATATGAATCTGCGTTGCCCCAGTCACCCCCCTTAACACACAACTCTTTTGTTTACACTTCTCAGCATGAATTATTCATTACTTCTCCCTTTGTTTATGATGGCATCTAAAGGTAGTTGTTACAAATGATTAAACTCAGTGAACATGGTATGTTGATGGTAATACAGTGGTCCCTCGATAATCGTCGGGCTCGATAGTCGTCTTTTTTGAAAATCGTCGCGTTATTTTCGTCCAAACATTGGCTCGCAAATGGTCGGTTGACTCGCTAATCGTTGTTTGTCCTGGACGCGTACTCACGGCTCTGAGCCACCTCAGCCTCCCTTCCCAGCCAGTGTGCCATTGTTTACCAGTGAGCGACGGTCCCCTCACTTGTTCATACAAAATACTTCATAATATTCCATTCATTTTAGTGCTTTCAAGTGATAAATAAGCTACCATGGCTCCAAAGAAAGCTCCTAGTCCCAAGCCTTTGGTAAAGAAGGTGAGAAATATGATTGAATTTAAGAAAAACATCATTGAACAATATGAAAGTGGCATACATGTGGCCGAACTGGCCAAGATGTATAACAAATCCCGTACAACCATATCTTCCATCATGGACAAGAAAAAGGAAATCAAGGAAGCTGTTGTTGCAAAGGGGGTAAATATGCTGACAAAAATGAGATCACCAGTACTCAAAGATGTTGAGAAGTTATTATTGGTGTGGATAAACGAGAAACAATTAGCAGGCGATTATTTGTGAAAAGACTAGGCAGTTGCATGAAGATCTGGTAAAGAAATTGCCTGCAACGAATACTGATATTTGTGAATTTAAAGCCAGCAAAGGTTGGTTTGAGAGATTTAAGAACCGTAGTGGCATACACAGTGTGATAAGGCATGGTGAGGCTGCCAGTTCGAACAAAATTGCAGCTACAAAATTCGTAAGTGAATTCAAGGAGTACATAGAGGTTGAAGGACTGAAACCTGAACAAATGTTCAATTCTGATGAAACAGGCCTCTTTTGGAAGAAAATGCCAAAGAGGACCTACATCTCTCAGGAGGAAAAGGGACTGCTAGGACACAAGCCTATGAAAGACAGGCTGACGCTCATGTTCTGTGCTACTGCTAGTGGGGATTTCAAAGTGAAGCCGTTACTAGTGTACCATTCTGAAAATCCCAGTGTGTTCAGGAAAAACAATGTTATGAAGGGTAAATTGTGTGTGTTTTGGAGATCTAATAATAAGGCTTGGGTTACGAGGGAAATTTTTGTCGAGTGGTTCAATGAAGTGTTTGGCCCTAGTGTGAAGAATTACCTCCTGGAAAAGAAATTGGATCTCAAGTGCCTCCTAGTAATGGATAATGCACCTGCTCATCCTCCAAACTTGGATGACCTAATTCTGCAGGAGTTTGGGTTCATCACAGTAAAGTTCTTGCCCCCGAATACCACTCCTCTCCTCCAGCCCATGGCCCAGAAGGTCATTTCAAACTTTAAAAAACTCTACACCAAAGCAATGTTTCAAAGGTGCTTTAATGTGACTTCAGACACTCGCTTGACCCTAAGAGATTTTTGGAAAGAACACTTCAGTATCCCCCATTGCATAAGCCTTATAGTACGTAAGGCTTGGGAGGGAGTGACTACCAGGACTTTGAACTCTGCTTGGAGAAAATTGTGGCCAGATTGTGGCTGACCCTGATGAGCCTGTCAGTTGTGAACTCTATTGTGGCATTGGGGAGTTATATGGGGTTGGATGTGAGTTTGGAGGATGTGGAAGAGTTGGTGGAGGACCACAACAAAGAGCTAACCACTGAGGAGCTGCAAGAGCTTCAGCAGGAACAGCAACAGATCACAGCTCAGAATCTTGCTGCAGAGGAGGAGGAAGGGAGATGGAAGAAGGTGCCTTCTTCAAAAATTAAGGAGATTTTTGAAATGTGGCGTAGGATGGAAAGATTTATGGAGAAACATCACCCTGAGAAGGATGTTGCAAGCCATATCAGCAACTTGTACAATGACAGAGTCTTGGCCCATTTTAGGGAAGTTTTAAAGAGACGCCAGAAACAAAGCTCTCTGGACACTATTTTGCGAGACAGGACTCCAGTGACTCAAGCTGGTCCTAGTGGCATTAAGAAACAGAGAAGAGAAGTAACCCCAGAAAAGGACTTGGTACCTGAGGTGTTGACGGAAGGGGATTCCCCTTCCAAACAGTAACTACTCCAATCTCTCTCCTCCTCCAGTCTTCCATACACTAAGAAGAATTGCCAATAAAGGTAAGTGTTATGCTGTTAATGTTTCATTCATCATGTCCCATTGTTTTGTTTATGTATTACATCTATATTTCATGTAAAAAAAATTTTTGTTTTAATACTTCTGGGTGTCAGGAATGGATTGACCACTGTAATGTGGCTCTTGGCCACATTAAATATCGTGTAGCTATGTAGGTAGGTGTAGGTATGTAGCCCAGGTGGACTACATACCTACATCTACTGGCTACCTACACCTGACTTCCTACAAATAAGTACTACTCACCTCTCGCCCTACATTAAGTCTACAAATATTTTAAGTAATGAACGTACTGTGTATGTAATTTACTTTTTATTGTGTTTTTAATGCCTAGTTCTATTAATAACTTAAATATAAGCTAGTGTAAACTTGACAACCCTACTCCTGTTGTGGAATCTATTGTGGCTTTGGGGAAGTCCATGGGGTTGGATGTGAGTGGCCAGGATGTGGAAGAGTTGGTAGATGCCTATGGGAAGAGCTAACCACTGAAGAGCTGCAACACTATAGTTATTCTCTATAAAATGTATTTTTTGTTAATAGTTTTGGGTGTCTGGAACGGATTAATTAGATATACATTATTTCTTATGGGAAATATTGCTTTGGTTTTCGTCAGACTCTCTGGAACGAATTAAAAACGAAAACCGAGGTTCCGCTGTACAGTGGACCCTCAACCAGCGATGGCATCGATTAACGATAAATCTGACTAGCGATACATTTTAACGCAAAAATTTTGTCTCGACTAGCACTTAAAAACTCGACCAGCGCTATTCGTTCCGTACGAGACGCGTCCACTTTGGCCTGAGCACGCCTCACTTGTCCCGTGGGTGCCAGTGTTTACAAGCCAGCCACCGCGGTCGCTTCCAAACATACAACTGAACATTTCATATTATCACAGCCTTTGTAGTGATTGCACCTGCAAAATAAGTCACCATGGGCCCCAAGAAAGCTTCTAGTGCCAACCCTACACCAAAAAGGGTGAGAATTACTATGGAGATGAAGAGATCATTGCTAAGTATGAAAGTGGAGTGCGTGTCTCTGAGCTGGTCAGGTTGTATAATAAACCCCAACCAACCATCGCTACTATTGTGGGCAAGAAAACGGCAATCAAGGAAGCTGTTCTTTCCAAAGGTGCAACTATGTTTTCAAAACTGAGATCGCAAGCGGTAGAAGATGTTGAGAGACTCTTATTGGTGTGGATAAATGAGAAACAGATAGCAGGAGATAGCATCTCTCAAGCGATCATATGTGAAAAAGCTAGGAAGTTGCATGACGATTTAATTAAAAAAATGCCAGCAACTAGTGATGTGAGTGAATTTAAGGCCAGCAAAGGTTGGTTTGAGAGATTTAAGAAGCGTAGTGGCATTCATAGTGTGATAAGGCATGGTGAGGCTGCCAGTTCGGACCACAAAGTGGCTGAAAAATATGTGCAGGAATTCAAGGAGTACATAGACAGTGAAGGACTGAAACCTGAGCAAGTGTTTAATTGTGACGAAACAGGCCTGTTTTGGAAGAAAATGCCAAGCAGGACGTACATTACTCAGGAGGAAAAGGCACTCCCAGGACATAAGCCTATGAAAGACAGGCTTACTCTGTTGACGTGTGCCAATGCTAGTGGTAATTGCAAAGTTAAGCCTTTATTGGTGTATCACTCTGAAACTCCCAGAGTGTTCAGGAAAAACAATGTCGTCAAGGCTAATTTACGTGTGCTGTGGAGGGCAAACAGTAAGGCATGGGTCACTAGGGACTTTTTCTATGACTGGTTACACCATGCATTTGCCCCCAATGTGAAAAATTACCTAATTGAAAAGAAATTAGACCTTAAGTGCCTCCTGGTATTAGACAATGCTCCTGGTAATCCTTCAGATTGGCAGAGCGACTTTCTAGGGACATGAGCTTCATTAAGGTGAAGTTTTTGCCTCCTAATACCACTCCTCTCCTGCAGCCCATGGACCAGCAGGTCATTTCCAACTTCAAGAAACTGTACACAAAAGCTATGTTTGAAAGGTGCTTTGTAGTGACCTCAGAAACTCAACTGACTCCAAGAAAGTTTTGGAAAGATCATTTTACCATCCTCAATTGTGTAAACATTATAGGTAAGGCTTGGGAGGAAGTGACTAAGAGGACCTTGAACTCTGCTTGGAAAAAAACTGTGGCCAGAATGTGTAGACAAAAGGGATTGTGAAGGGTTTGAGGCTAACCCTGAGAATCCTATGACAGTTGAGGAATCCATTGTGGCATTGGGGAAGTCCTTAGGGTTGGAGGTTAGTGGGGAGGATGTGGAAGAGCTGGTGGAGGAGGACAATGAAGAACTAACCACTGATGAGCTGCTAGATCATCTTGAACAGCAAGAGGGCAGACCTGAGGAAACTGCTTCAGAGGAGGGGATAGAGAAATTGAAGAAGTTGCCTACTTCTAAGATTAAGGAAATGTGTGCAAAGTGGCTTGAAGTGCAAACCTTTTTTGATGAAAATCACCCTGACACAGCTACTGCAAGCCATGTTGGCAACCTGTACACTGACAATGTTGTGAACCACTTTAGTTAAGTCATAAAGGAACGAGAGGTACAGGTATCTATGGACAGATATGTTGTGCGACAGAAGTCCAGTGACTCTAAAGCTGGTCCTAGTGGCATTAAAAGAACAAGGGAGGTAACCCCAGAAAAAGACTTGTTACCTCAAGTGCTAATGGAAGGGGATCCCCTTCTAAACACTAAGAAGATCAACGGTCTCCCCTCCTCCCATCCCATCAATCATCACCAGATCTTCACTAAAGGTAAGTGTCATGTAACTGTGCATGTCTTCTTCAGTTTGTGTGAATTAAAATTAGTATTTCATGTGGTAAAATTTTTTTTTTTCAATACTTTGGGGTGTCTTGCGCGGATTAATTTGATTTCCATTATTTCTTATGGGGAAAATTAACTTGACTAACGATTATTTCGATTAACGATGAGCTCTCAGGAACGGATTAATATCGCTGGTTGAGGGTCCGCTGTATTATCAACAAGTTAAAATTAATGCTAGTCTTCAATTGGTGATGCCTGTCTGCTTCAAAGTAGTTTTGAAGAACATGGATTGAGGATCATAATCAATGTGACATTCCTGTGAGAATAATAATAGTTCATTAGAAGGGGCGCATGATCCAAGAAACTGGACCTGTTTTTCTTTCCCTTGGATCACATTAGTGCTTTATGTAAAAATCACCTTACTGTAAACTCTGCAGTTTAATGGTTACAGTGTTAGGACTACTCTATGTACAGACCATGGTTAGAGCCCCTTTCCATTCTTTTGTTTATTTACTGACAGTTATTCATTACAACTTAACATGGGTGTGTATGTATGTATGTGTATGAATTTTTTTTTCTTGACACACCGGCCATCTCCTACTGAGGTAGGGTGATCCGAAAAAGAATGAAACACAAGTTTTTCTTCTTTGTATACATGTATTTAGAAATTTATAATTTGTGGCCAATTACATCAATGTTCTCTAACACAAAAAATAATACTAAATGCATAAAACTTGAGACAGAAATCAAGCAAATGAACTAACCTTGAAATGTATGGTCGAATAGCAGTATCAGCAACAGGCATCATTGGAATAGGATCATTTGTAGAAAGCCAGTATGATTTGTCATTTCGGGATGCATAGTTGCACACGTTGTTGAAGTCACAGAACATAAACGGCATTGTGCTGAACCTTCTTACACATGAGCCAGCCAATCCTGTTTAACAATAATATTTGTACTACTCAAATATATATATATATATATATTTTTTTTCCAGATTGGCCATTTCCCCACCGAGACAGGATGACCCAAAAAGAAAGAAAAAACTTTCATCATTCAACACTTTCACCATCATTCATACATAATCACTGTCTTTGCAGAGGCACTCAGATACGACAGTTTAGATGCCCCTCCAAACTGCCAATATTCCAAACCCCTCCTTTAAAGTGCAGGCACTGTACTTAGTTAATATTCAATATTTCTCTTTCTTATTTTAAACCAAAACAAGTATAGTAATTTAGCTGAAATATTATACAGAATGTATTTACCTAAATCTTGATGATGTGCCTTTTCATTGCCTTCAACATATAGTAAGGAGTAGCCCTCCCAGAGATAGATGTGGCCCCGTTCACACTGTGGGGCATTGGTGGTCTGGGAATGTCGTACAACCAGTGTACCCGAATAATACTGCTGCTGAGCTTCACAACTCTTTCCTGGCTCTCCTTTACTTCCTGGGAAACCTTGTTGCCCCTTTAATAAAATATGAAAAAATAAAAAGTTAAGCAAAGATTATAATACATGTACAGTGGAACCTCAGCTTACATATTTAATCCGTTCCGTGACCTCGTTCATATCAACATAGGGACGATGTTGGACACCTCATGAAATTCAGTGAGGCTAAACTAGTGATTCCTCTTCAAGGGGGGCTCCTTGGCATGGTGAAGAGGCTCTTGGTCTGAGGAATTAGCCCTGTCGGTCTTCTTCCTCAGACTGAACCTAATTACCTCCCATTCTCTCCTCCCCATCCACCCCTTTTTCCATTCCTCCTCCTCCCCACCCCTCCCTTTTGTCCTTCCTCTTTTTGGCCTTTGGGATTTCTCCCACAGGCGCGCTAGTTCCTAGGTAGGGGAAAGGACACCGGGGTCCATCCCATTCCGTTGAGGTTCTTGGCGGTGGCATAGTTTGCCGTGGAATCTGGATTGCCTGGGGATGTCCCGATCCCTCTCCGGTATCCCGGAGTAGCTTTGGGTGTCTTTCGGGCGACGGGTGTATCTCTGGAAGCCACCTTTCGGATTCCGGGGGTGGTGGACGAAGGAGGTATGCTTTGTGGCGGATATCCGGCCGCCCTCTCTTTTGTCCACCGAGGTAGCTCGGCAGATGTGAGGTTGCTATCCCGGATTGCTGGTTTACTGGCATGAAGGGTAGGGTATGGCACGGGTTCCATGCTGCATCTGCGCTACTAGCGGTGCTGAGGTCCTCTTGTTCGCGGAGGGAGATTTCCGGCCCTTTCATTCCTCCTGGGAACTATTCCTCCCCGCTCCCCCCTTTTTTTTTTTTTTTTTTTATTTTTTTTTTCTTTTCTTCTTTCTTTTTTTTCTTAAAAACAAAAAGCAAAGGAGTAACCTAACCATGGCAGCCCTAGTCCATGAACCCCCTACCCCCGGGCCCCTTCTTGATACCGCACCCCATTCTGACCCTGCCTTGTGTTTAGACCACTCTTCGGACACTCCTGATGCCCCTGTACCTCTTGCTGGTGCTGTTTTTCCTCACCCGCTTCAGGTACCGGGGCTTCGACTGACTCCTTGATTGTCTGAACTCCGCTCTCCTTTGACTATGCTTCCGGCTTCTCCCTCTACGGTACGGCAATTTTTGAATCGCCCGCCCATTTCACGCCAGACCAACTCCAGTCCTACTCCTAAACGCCAATCTCCTGATGATGCTCCTTCGTTACCTTCCCATTCTACTCGGAAAAGACCGACACGTCAAGCACTCCCTCTCCACGCTCAGTTTCGGACCACACAATGGACTAAATTCTTTACTTTAAGACCGACTTCTTCTTCTGCCTACCTTTCTGACCATAGTATTGGCAAAGCGCTCCTGCGTCATGTTGGTAGAGATATTTCCTTTCATGCTCTCAAGAGCGGTATGCGCATCGTCACTGTCCAGAATGCTACCCAAGCTCAATGATCTTTCTCTCTTTTGAAAATCGATACTACTCCTATCACTATTGAAAAACATATTTCTCTCAATTCTTGTAGTGGTACTGTCATTCTGCCCCATACCATAGTCCAACAGAATTTCCAGTCATGTGGCAATGACATTTTTGAACAGCTGGAACTCCAGGATCTCCCAATCCTCAAAGTAGACACTTATGTCCTTCCTGCCCGGGGGCGGAGACGTTACCCTTGCAATGTGGCTCGTTTAACTTTTGACAGCCGAGAACTCCCGTCCTCTGCATATGTCGCGGGACATCGGTTACAAGTTCGAAAGGTGATACCTACACCGCAACAATGTAGAAATTGCTGGCGTTTTGGTCACCCAGCGAAATATTGCAGATCTATGGCCGAATGCCCAGTCTGTGGTGCCGACGACCATTCTAATACATCTTGCAGTCAACCTCCATCTTGCCTTAATTGCAATGAAGCTCACCCTTCGTACTCCCGCCATTGCCAGGTCTACTTAAACGAACGTGAAATCCGTTGCCTCAAAGAGGCAGAAGGTCTCCCTTATGCTATGGCAGTTACTCATCTCCGCCTCCAAGGGAGACTACCCGTGTTTCTTATTCTCGTGTTTCCAAACATCCCCCCACTTCTGGGGTCCCATCTTCTGTAGCCACCTCTGTTGTTACCCCTCCCATAGCCACTACGGCATCTAATCCTTTTGCTGTCCTTGGCTCTGACGTCCCGACTACAACTCAGTCTGTTCTCACATCTTCGCGTCCTTCCTCACAAGCCCCAGTATCGACAAGACCTCGTACGACACCTAATACCAATCGCCCCTCTACTCAGAAGTCCAAAAAATCCACATTGCTCAAATCATCTTTGCCCCTTCCTTCCCTTCTTCCACCTCCACACTTTACCTTTCCAGTCTCTGTACATAGTTCTTCCCCTCTCTCTGGCTCTATTACAAGTGTGGAAATTCACCCTCCTCCTCGTACTATGCCTTCCACCCCCATCCCCTCCCAAGTTTCTCCCTCTTCTGCCACCTCCCAGGTTTCTGCCTCTTCTGTCCCCCCCCACACTTCATCTCCAGTCCCTTACACTCTTCCCTCCCCCTCTACTTTGGTACAGTCCATTACTGTCCCAATCTTTACTCACCCTCCTCCTTCTATCTCCAATATGGTCTCCCATACATCTTTGAATTCAGAAACACTTGAAGCCATTTCAGAATATATTGCAGAGACTAAACCTTCAATGGACACTGATTCACTTCCTGTTCCTTCTCTTCCCTCTCCTCCATCTTCACAACCCCATTCTTCGCAACGCTCCGTTCCTTCGCTACTTGAACGTCTTCCAATGCCACCACACGTTGACTTTTCTAACCCCTCTAGTCCGTAGGTGCCTTTACCTGGAGTTTACCTGGAGAGAGTTCCGGGGGTCAACGCCCCCGCGGCCCAGTCTGTGACCAGGCGTCCTGGTGGATCAGAGCCTGATCAACCAGGCTGTTACTGCTGGCTGCATGCAAACCAACGTACGAGCCACAGCCCGGCTGATCAGGAACTGACTTTAGGTGCTTGTCCAGTGCCAGCTTGAAGACTGCCAGGGGTCTGTTGGTAATCCCCCTTATGTGTGCTGGGAGGCAGTTGAACAGTCTCGGGCCCCTGACATTTATTGTATGGTCTCTTAACGTGCTAGTGACACCCCTGCTTTTCATTGGGGGGATGGTGCATCGTCTGCCAAGTCTTTTGCTTTCGTAGTGAGTGATTTTCGTGTGCAAGTTCGGTACTAGTCCCTCTAGGATTTTCCAGGTGTATATAATCATGTATCTCTCCCTCCTGCATTCCATGGGAATACAGGTTTAGGAACCTCAAGCGCTCCCAGTAATTGAGGTGTTTTATCTCCGTTTTCGCGCCGTGAAAGTTCTCTGTTACATTTTCTAGGTCGGCAATTTCACCTGCCTTGAAAGGTGCTGTTAGTGTGCAGCAATATTCCAGCCTAGATAGAACAAGTGACCTGAAGAGTGTCATCATGGGCTTGGCCTCCCTAGTTTTGAAGGTTCTCATAATCCATTCCTGTCATTTTTTCTAGCAGATGCGATTGATACAATGTTATGGTCCTTGAAGGTGAGATCCTCTGACATGATCACTCCCAGGTCTTTGACGTTGGTGTTTCGCTCTATTTTGTGGGCCAAATATTGTTTTGTACTCTGATGAAGATTTAATTTCCTCATGTTTACCATATCTGAGTAATTGAAATTTCTCATCGTTGAACTTCATATTGTTTTCTGCAGCCCACTGAAAGATTTGGTTGATGTCCGCCTGGAGCCTTGCAGTGTCTGCATGGAAGACACTGTCATGCAGATTCGGGTGTCATCTGCAAAGGAAGACACGGTGCTGTGGCTGACATCCTTGTCTATGTCGGATATGAGGATGAGGAACAGGATGGGAGCGAGTACTGTGCCTTGTTGGAACAGAGCTTTTCACAGTAGCTGCCTCGGACTTTACTCTGTTGACGACTACTCTCTGTGTTCTGTTAGTGAGGAAATTATAGATCCATCGACCGACTTTTCTGTTATTCCTTTAGCACTAGCATTTGTGTGCTATTATGCCATGGTCACACTTGTCGAAGGCTTTTGCAAAGTCTGTATATATTACATCTGCATTCTTTTTGTCTTCTAGTGCATTTAGGACCTTGTCGTAGTGATCCAATAGTTGAGACAGACAGGAGCGACCTGTTCTAAAACCCATGTTGCCCTGGGTTGTGTAACTGATGGGTTTCTAGATGGGTGGTGATCTTGCTTCTTAGGACCCTTTCAAAGATTTTTATGATATGGGATGTTAGTGCTATTGGTCTGTAGTTCTTTGCTGTTGCTTTACTGCCCCCTTTGTGGAGTGGGGCTATGTCTGTTGTTTTTAGTAACTGTGGGACGACCCCCCGTGTCATGCTCCCTCTCCATAGGATGGAAAAGGCTCGTGATAGGGGCTTCTTGCAGTTCTTGATGAACACAGAGTTCCATGAGTCTGGCCCTGGGGCAGAGTTGCAATGGGCAATGTCATTTATCGCCTGTTCGAAGTCATTGTGGTCAGGATAACATCGGATAGGCTTGTGTTAATCAAATTTTGTGGCTCTCTCATAAAAAATTCATTTTGATCTTCGACTCTCAGTCTGGTTAGCGGCTTGCTAAAAACTGAGTCATACTGGGACTTGAGTAGCTCACTCATTTCCTTGCTGTCATCTGTGTAGGACCATCTTGTTTAAGTAGGGCCCAATACTGGACGTTGTTCTCGATTTTGATTTGGCATAGGAGAAGAAATACTTCGGGTTTCTTTCGATTTCATTTATGGCTTTTAGTTCTTCCCGCGATTCCTGACTCCTAAAGGATTCTTTAGCTTAAGTTCGATGCTTGCTATTTCTCTGACCAGTGTCTCCCTACGTATTTCAGATATATTGACCTCTTTTAGCCGCTCTGTTATTCTTTCCGTCGCCTGTAAAGGGAGCGCCTGTCTCTTTCTATTTTACATCTACTCCTCCTTTTTCTTAGAGGAATAAGCCTTGTGCAAACATCGAGTGCCACCGAGTTAATCTGTCTAG